CGTTTTTGGAGAAACAGGTTTTCTAACTATAAGAACGAATTACTCGCAAACAAGTTCAAACGCATATAAGTTGAAAGCGTTCGTGCGATAAAAGACGCCTCCACTATTAACGCGTTCAATATAATAAAAATGCGTTTCTTACCAACAAGTATGGGTTCGAACGCGCTCACAATTTTCAGAAACGCGTCTGAACGCGTCAATTAGTTCTTAGAACGCGTTTGTAGTCGATAAAATACGTTCAATTTTTTCGAAAACGTGTTCTTTCACGTTGACTATAAGGAATATTTTTCCATGGGTGGATTCGCTTCACCTTCGACTGAATTCAGTATAACAATCATTTGTAATCACTTACTCCAGTCTAATTCAAGAATCATCGTCAAATACACGCAAATGCAAATAACTGTCTATAATTTTATCTCTCACTGCTATTTCATAAAAAGAGGCAAGCTGTATATTACCTGTCGATTCGGTCTAAAATAAACTTGAGTAAACAGTTCGCAGTCGGCTCTCACGATCGAATTTAATTCATATTCCAATCTCCTCAGGACTGACTCCAACGATTCTTCGTGAAAAATTTTCGCTTTTAATTGGAATGATCTTCATTTTGAGATCTTATACTTGTATCTTGAGTTTGACTATGTAGTCTGAAGTAGAATTCAATTGTTTCCGGCAGAATTTACTCTCTAAAAAATAGGTATCACACTGTACCTTTTTAAGGTTTTATATTTGGGTAGAGTAAGTTACCCTAATAACAACACTAAAAAATGACATGACTTGATTGATTCGGTGTACATCTATTTTACATCCGATTGAAATTATTCTTACACGTGCATAATGATTCATAACCTTCGCAATTGATAAATGTTTCGAAGGTTTCATATTTTCTTTGTTATCCTAAAAGCATCAAAACACTTTATAATACAATAAAATAGATTTTGTCGAACAGACTGACCTCGTCGTCTTCATCTAATGATCTTTCAAATGCGTCTTGTTCGTAGTTTGGTGGGTTTTGTTGCGATGAAACGTGGACAATATTGGCATCAATCGATGAAAAATTGACATTGTCATCGAGCTCTTGATTGTTACTAACAATAGTAATCGTTGAATTTGTTGATTGAGTTGTACGAGAAAGTACAGGAGAAACGTAAGGCATTGATCGATTCGATAAAATTTTCGTCTTGGGTTTAGGAGTTTGAGATCGTTGGGACAGAGGTTCACAAAGAACAGAATGAGAAGCTCTAGTGGAGCTCGACAACGACGAAGAACGAACTTGATTATCAGTTGGATTCGAATCAGAATCAAAAGTACTTGATGGTGTTGATGATGACATGTTTGGAAAAAATAAAGAAAACAAATTGAACTAGAGACCGTTACCGGTTAACCGGTATTCTTATGAACCAATCGTATTTAAATCATTCGATATCACGTTACAAAATATAAAAATTGATAGTTGGCAGTTCTTGTATTGCACTATTCAATTATTTTCTTTCGATATCGAGCGCAAATCGACTGAATGGTCTAACTTGTAGAAGCTGAATGGCCACTTCATAATAATTTTAATAAGCAGACATATTAATGAATTTTCAATGTCTCCATAGTTCAATGGAACTCACTCATACTGTCAAATATATTGAACATGAAATTGATCATTTTGTTGTATCGAATAACCACATTATTGGATTGAATTCAAGAAAATATCGACTGATATAAATTAGACATACACAATAAGATTATAGCTTTGCTCTTTGATTGCTTGAAATGGTAAGATAAACAAGTTTAAAAGACAAATATTCTGAAACTATGATTTTTCTACTTAAAATGAGCTTATTTTATTATTTATTCACCATAGATAGAGCAAATAATATTTGCATAAGTCGATTAAATATATTACAGAAAAAATGCTATAACGAATTATCGCGTGCTACTATACGAATACAACCTTTAGTATATTCCACAGTATTGATTTTTGTTGCATATTAGAGTTAAAGAAGAAATGCTCACGCTCATGAGTGTGAGCATCCTGTAGATGTCACTATCCAACATCAACAGTGTTACGCTCTAGTTATTATCCGTTCTGTTGCGTAATCCATTGGAAAACACTATTCACGTGATAGTGTTAAATTATATTACG